TAAGGTTGGCTAGGGGCTTATCGATTTTATTTATTCTTTCAAAGAACCAACTCTTTGATTTGTTGATCCTTTGGATTGTTTTCTTAGTCTCTATTGCATTGATTTCTGCTCTGATTTTTATAATTTCCTCTCTTCTTTTGGCTTTGGGCTTGACTTGCTCTTCCTTTTCTAGCTGTTTGAGGTGTAGCATCAAGTTATTTATTTGTATTCGTTCTGTTTTCCTGATGTGGGAACTCAGTGCAATAAATTTTCCTCTCAGAACGGCTTTCATTGTATCCCACAGATTCCGGTAAGTTGTATCTGCATTTTCATTTTCTTTTAGGTATTGTTTGATTTCTTCTTTAATTTCTTCTGTGACCCACTGATTACTCAAGAGTGTGTTATTCAGTTTCCATGTGTTTGTGGGATTTTTGCAGTATCTTTTATCATTAATTTCTAATTTCAGAGCGCTGTGATCCGATAACATGCAAGGGATGATTTCAGCTCTTTTGCACTTGTTTAAATATGTTCTATGAGCTAATATATGGTCTATTTTAGAAAATGATCCATGTACTGCTGAGAAGAATGTGTATTCTGATGTTGTTGGGTGGAACATTCTGTATATGTCTATCAAACCCATTTGTTCACAGGTATGATTCAGTTCTGTTATTTCTTTACTCATTTTCTGTCTGGTCGATCTGTCCCTTGGTGTCAATGGCGTATTAAGGTCTCCCGTTACAATTGTGTTACTGATAATTTGAGTTTTCATTTCTGTTAATAATTGTTTTATATAACTGGGCGCTCTGGAGTTTGGTGCGTATATATTTAAGATAGTTATCTCTTCCTCTTGGAGTTTTCCCCTTACGAGTATGTAGTGACCTTCTTTGTCCTTTATGGTCATTGTTGGTTTAAAGTTCACGTTGTCTGCAAACAGAATGGCTACTCCTGCCTTTTTTTGGATTCCTGCTGCATGAAGAATTGTTTTCCATCCTTTGACTTTCAGTCTGTGAGTATCCTTCTGGGTTAGATGGGTTTCCTGTAAACAGCATATGGTTGGATTTTGTTTCTTGATCCATTCTGCTAGTCTGTTTCTTTTGATTGGTGCATTGAGACCATTTACATTAATGGTTATTACTGTTAAATGTTGTTTAATTGTAGGATTCTTATCTCTCTGCTGTTGCATCTTTATCTTTCTGTTCTGTTTAATTATTTGCTTTGCTTAGTGGTTTTTTCCTTTGTGTATCTAAACTGTCTTTCAATATTTTTTGCAGGGTTGGTTTGGTGTTCATGAAGTTTTTCAGCTGTTCTTTGTCATGGAAGTATCGTATTTCACCATCTATTTTAAATGATAGTTTTGCAGGATATATCAGTCTAGGTTGGAAATCATTTTGCTTTAGGATCTGGAATACTTCACTCCATGCTCTTCTTGACTTTATTGTTTGTGATGAGAAGTCTGCTGTGATTCTGATAGGTTTTCCTTTATAAGTGATCTGTCTTTTCTCTCTGACAGCTTTTAATAATCTATTCTTGTGTTGGATTTCTGGGATGGTGATTATTATATGTCTGGGTGTAGTTTTATTTTGGTTATGACTATTTGGAGTTCTATATGCTTCACTGATCCTGATGTCAGTTTCTGATCTCATGCTTGGGAAGTTTTCAGCTATTGCTTCTCTAAATATCCTCTTGATATCCTTTATGTTGTCTCCTTCTTTTTCATTAATCCCTATCATTCTTATGTTATTCTTCTTTGCATCATCTTGCAGTTGTTGAATTGTTGTTTCCTGATTCCTTGTTATTTTTAAAAGATCTTTCCTTTCCTGTTCACTTGCTGCAATCCTGTCTTCAAGGTCTGAAATTCTATCTTCACTTTCATTAAGGCGGTTTTTACAACTTTCAGTGGAGTTTTTTATTTCCTGTATATCTCTGTGCATCTGCATTATGTATTCTGTTTGTTTCTTATATTGCTCGTCTAGGGATTCTATCTTTTTGTTTAATTACTCCAATTTTTTATCTGTGTTTTCTTTAGATATATTTAGAATCTCTTTCATTTCTTTTATCATTTCTTCTTTTATCTGGGAAATTATTTCGAGTTTGAATTTCTTTAAAGCTTCCTGGAGTTGCTTGTCAACTTCAGTAGCTATTGTGTCTAATATATGAGGAGGATGGGATATATTTTCTTCTAAATACACTTCTCCTAGGGTTTCCTGATATGGGCTGGAGGTTTGAGGTTGTAATTTGGTCTTTCGTTTTGTCATTTTCCTATATTTCTGTGTTTCAAGTGTTATTTGAAAGCCTCCTCAGGATCTGTTGAAAATCCCCTTCTATGTTTGCAGCTACTGAGACTCTGGCACCACTCTACCCCAGGCCATTGGGCCTGCAGAACCAATGGCCCTCCTCTGCTTGTTCAGAACTCCGCGGTTCCAGACAAGCTGGGCCTCAGGGACACTGTGCGCCCACCTGCCCCTTGGTAGATCCACAGCTCTTGGATCGCAGCCGGGTTAGGGTACTCACCACAGACCGCAGTGCCTCAGGAGCCTGTGATCCCTCCCTGCTTGCAGAGATATCCACAAACCTCCAGACAAAGGAAGGGCCTCCTGCGGGCACTCCGGATCTACCCCGCTCCTCCTCTGCACGCAGATGGCTATGCGTGGCTGGGCTCAGGCCGAGGTGCCTCAGGAACCCGGGACCCCTCCTCCTCCAGACAAAGGAAGGGGCCTCTGCAGGCGGCTCCGGATCCGCGCAGCTCCTCCTCCTCACACCGATGGCCAGGCGCGGCTGGGCACAGGCCGAGGTTCCTCAGGAACCCGGGACCCCTCCTCCTCCAGACAAAGGAAGGGGCCTCTGCAGGCTCTCCGGATCCGCGCAGCTCCTCCTCCGCACACCGACGGCCAGGCGCGGCTGGGTACGGGCTGAGGTGCCCCAGGAACCCGGGACCCCTCCTTCCCCAGACAAAGGAAGGAGCCTCTGCAGGCGGCTCCGGATCCGCGCAGCTCCTCCTCCGCACACCGACGGCCAGGCGCGGCTGGGTACGGGCCGAGGTGCCTCGGGAACCCGGGACCCCTCCTCCTCCAGACAAAGGAAGGGGCCTCTGCAGGCGGCTCGGGATCCGCGCAGCTCCTCCTCCGCACACCGACGGCCAGGCGTGGCTGGGTACGGGCCGAGGTGCCCCAGGAACCCGGGACCCCTCCTCCTCCAGACAAAGGAAGGGGCCTCTGCAGGCGGCTCCGGATCCGCGCAGCTCCTCCTCCGCACACCGACGGCCAGGCGCGGCTGGGTACGGGCTGAGGTGCCTCAGGAACCCGGGACCCCTCCTTCTCCAGACAAAGGAAGGGGCCTCTGCAGGCGGCTCCGGATCCGCGCAGCTCCTCCTCCACACACCGACGGCCAGGCGCGGCTGGGTACAGGCCGAGGTGCCCCAGGAACCCGGGACCCCTCCTTCTCCAGACAAAGGAAGGGGCCTCTGCAGGCGGCTCCGGATCCGCGCAGCTCCTCCTCCGCTCACCGACGGCCAGGCGCGGCTGGGTACGGGCTGAGGTGCCTCAGGAACCCGGGACCCCTCCTTCTCCAGACAAAGGAAGGGGCCTCTGCAGGCGGCTCCGGATCCGCGCAGCTCCTCCTCCACACACCGACGGCCAGGCGCGGCTGGGTACGGGCCGAGGTGCCTCGGGAACCCGGGACCCCTCCTCCTCCAGACAAAGGAAGGGGCCTCTGCAGGCGGCTCGGGATCCGCGCAGCTCCTCCTCCGCACACCGACGGCCAGGCGCCATCTTTATACTTTTGACAATTACAGAAAAGTTTTGGAAAAACCAGTGAGGCACCGATGATGTTTATAAGTCAATTAATTTTTGTACCACACAAATCTAATATGAAGGACATTTTACATGAATTTTATTTTCATAAAATTATGTAAACATAAAACGTAAAAATCCTTTATTCTCACCTTGATTATTTCTTTACCACTCCTTTCATTTTTCCCTTCCTTATCTTCTTTCTTCTGTTTTCTAACCTAGCCAGTTAAGAGATTTTTCTCCCATGATTTTTATATTAACTAGGACTACAAGGTTGAAGCTGAGAAATAACAGTGCTGTGGAGAAGGATTCACCTACCACTAACCCTGGAAGATTTTATTTTGAGACCAAGAAATTTTGTATGAACCATAATATTCCTAAAAAGTTATTTTCATCATATAATAGGATGCATTTAACTGTACTTTTCAATTTTATAAAAGAAATAAAATATTAATTACAAATCATAAAATTAAAAAATTAAATATCATGTAATCACATGCATATTGACATTTCTATTTTTATGGATTGGTAAATTGTAAGAGGATCACAAAATTTTCTTGCTCTAACAGAAATTCATAAATACTTAATTATCTAATCTACAACATTTAACATGAATATAAAATTCGAAAGTTGCTTATCTATTTAAAGTGTTAAATTATTTTTAAAAAGACAACATATACAAAGAAAAACTAAATTGGCATAGTTTAATTCTACAAAAATGTATGAAAATTTAAATTTACAGCAGAAGAACAATTATACCACTTAGTAATGCTTACATTATTTAAAATGTTTAATTTTTTATGCACAATCTACTTTTCTAAATATTAACGAATTGTATATCAAGCAAATATTTAAAACATGTTTAAAACTTTTTCTCTCTAGTTGTGATTACATAAAAACACAGAAACTTCCCCCCAGAAAAATTTTGCTCATCAGTTTCTTTTTGCCTTGTGCTATTTTTCAACTGAAAGTACAATTAGAATCAAGCAGCAGTTTATATTCATTTTTACACCAATTGAATGCATGATTAAAATTTATTTTTTAAAATAGATATAGTCTTAATCATCTAATTTCCCATTTCCTAAGTCATTAAAAAAGGCTGGAAAGAAAAATGATAATTTTATATAATGATGATACATCTACCACAGAAGTGGCCTTTGTTTTAAAAGATCGTTAACAAAATATTGTCCTGCAACACTGCTATTTCCAGAAGGACTTTTAAAGCACATTCGATGAAAATTTCCTTTAGAATTTATTGATCAATATAAAATAAAAGGTGGGCACAAATTTACACGAGGAATTTAAAACACAGTGCTGGTGTTCATTCAACACCTTAAATTCATACAAAAGCTTACATTTTTTTTTAGCAGTTTAAACACAGTGGAATCAAATCAGATACATCCTGTACTATACAGAGGAATGGCCAATCTTTTATGTTCCATATTTTAATATATTTGAGAAAGATGTGGGCAGTGGCTGAATTCTGAAACACAACCTGCTTTAAGACAACTGAATCTGTGCTGCCCAACAAACCTGAAATTCATTCAAGACTTGAAGTTATCAGTTATGTACAATGACCATTTGTGGGAGGTGTCACATCCATTAGGATCTTGTATTTATTAAATTTTTGTATTTGTGATATCATAATTTTTTAACAATGATGCACACAAATTTTTGTTCTCTGATACTGGAGTTAGCATCTGTAGATGAAATCCAAATGTGATGGTTATGATTGTATATAATTGTTATTTCATAAATGGCAAAACACATGGGTATGAGAAGATATTTTGAGGTTTACTGAAACAATCCATACTATGTTCCTAATTTCCCATCAAATTAAGTATTTGATAAAATTTAATTTAAAGGTCCTGTTTTATTGTGTGGGTTTATTTTTCCTCTCCCTCTTTTTTCCTTTTTATTTATTATGATGATTCTAAGCACCAATGCAGAATCAAGTTATGGGTTATTTTTATTAGAGAGCTACAGTGGGAAGCTTAGAAATATTTCCTCATTACCCTGCAGCCTTTAAAAGAAAACAGCCAATGTTTACAGTAATAGATGGTCTAATTCTCTGTGCAACTTGTAGGCCAATCTTACTTTTAACTTTAATATAATTATAAAGTAAATAGAAGAAACTCTTTCACAAGTGGCTACTGAAGAGACTTAATTTCCCTGAAACTCAGTTTGCTAGATAAATGATGCTAGACAAATTTCATTGTTCAATAATCATGCTGTTTCCAGGTAATGTCTTTATTTTTCCTGTAGGTCTTATTGTTCATAGAACTAATTTTATTAAAGCATAAAATATAATAAAAATTTTAAGACTTCTAAATAATGTTCTGATAACAAAAAATTTAAAGAAGTTTTTCTCATTACTGTGCCCTTCCTATATTTTTTAATTATCAATTTATCCTTATGGCATTACCAGCAGCATGTATTTTGTAAATAAAATACATCATTGAACTATTTCTTAACCATATCACCTATCATCACTTATGCAATATTGTCATGAATTAAGAATATTTGGTATCTGTAACAATCTTATGATATTATGAACCAGGCTCTAATAACAAATTTGAGCAATGATGTTAGATTATACTAGCAATAAAGAGTGTGGAAAAGCTTCTTGTAGCTGTATGGTTCCTGGGAAAACTAAATTATATATCTAGGTCTCAGATTTAATACATAAAAACTAATCATTGACCATCTGCAAAGCTTTTGATAGTTTTTAAAATTATCTTTTGTTCATAGACTTGATTATAAAATAAATTTAGTAGGTATGAAATCATGAATATATAGTTTCTTAAGGGAATGAACATATATCTCGCTTGGGCAAAACTTAAAACTTTAGGTGGCCCATTGAACACAACTAGAAAATTAAAATTAGTTTTAGCTTAATGAAGCAACTAATATAAGGTAGCAGCATTTCCATAAAATGTTGTATTTCATTTCCATAAGGCAGGATATTCTACAATATAAAATAACATTTTCATATGAAGGATATTCATATTTTGATATGAAGAATGTTTTTAATATGAAGGAAGTTCATATTTTAATATGAAGAATGTTAGGAAGAAGATTATCATTTGAAGACAAAGTTGTATAAATTCTGTATAAATATATTACTGGACTCTAAAATTTAAAATAAAAAAATACAATACTGTAGCATTTAGCAACTTTAGCATATACTTTTCAGTTCATTAATTCAAGAAGTATTTAAAGAATACTTCATCAGTGCCAAAACTGTACCAGATGCTGAACATATTCAGTGAACAAAACTGACAGAAACCCTGACTTTAGAAAGGATTTGTAGGGCAGTAGGCATAGCTCCATGGTAGAACAGTTAGCCAGCATTCCTAATCCCTGTGTTTCATCCATCAGTAATGCAAAAAAAAAAAAAAAAAAAAGGAAAATACAACAATAATAAAAATAAAAGACACATATCCTACAGTGTGTAATGGGTTTGTGGGGCTCACAGAGGCAGACAGGTGCACTGAAATGAAGTAGCAAAATCATAGTTTGTCTGAAGTTCAGGATATGGAGACAGCAAGTGGAACAGTGGTCTGCCTTACTGCTGAAACAATGTTTGCCTAAAACCAAAGGCAGTGAATGAGACAGCTCTGTGGGGCCCTGTGGGGCACAGGGAGCTCAAGATTGAGAACAGACCTTGCTTGGGAGTCAGGGTCAAGTGTGGAGGATAAGAGACAGCAGTTGCAGTGAAGTTGTGTGTGTGTGTGTGTGTGTGTGTGTGTGTGTGTGTGTGTGTGTGTTGTGGATTTGGGAAAGTGTGTGGTGAAGGGTGTCATCAGGAAGGATTTCCAGTAGCACTGAAGGCAGATGAAAAGTCACTTGAACAGTGTGTGCACATGAAATGTCACAGTGAAATTCCTAACTACTAGAACCACTATGGTTACTGCACTGAGAAAAGGAGATAAAGACTGGAAAAAGTTGCTCACTAAATAAAACATTTTGAGAATAAAGAGGTAATGACATTGTGGATGTGGCAGCAAAGCACTGGCTTGTGAGTTACATTTGAAAAATGCATCAGAGGAATTTTATGATGGATTTGGAGAGAGAGAGGGAAAGAGAGAGAGAGAGAGAGAGAGAGAGAGAGAGAGAGAGAGAGAGAGAGAGAGAGAGAGAGAGAGAGAGAGAGAGAGAGAGAGAGAGAGAGAGAGAGAGATGGGGTAGCCAAACTGATTAGTATCTTTTCTATATTAGAACTTTATAAGTGAATATGAGAGCAAAAAGTGGAACCTTTTCCTCCAGAAGACACATTTTCCAATCTTCTGCCTGACACTTTCAGTTTCTCTGGCTGTTGTGAACATTCATAAAGAATGTACACAACCCATTTTATGCAGACCCATTTTAGGGGCACTAAATATAGTTTCAAATATAAAAACAATAAAAATCTCATTTGTAGATTTTTTTCTTCATTTTCGTCTCAACTGCTCATGTGTTTTGAACACAAAGAGTTTTTCAACGGAAAGAACTTGTAAAAAACTAGCCTAATCATGACTGTATTCTTTGGGCCATAATTTATGGAAAATTATATTTAGTAGTTTAATTAGAATGTATATTAATTAATGTGTTTGAGTTTACTCTTCTAGTGATAAAATTATAGAATGACATTATAACATAGCAATTATAATCTGATTGAAATATATTTCTTTTTTTTTTTTTTTTTTTTTTTTTTTTATCGGTACCGGGGATTGAACTCACGACTGCCTGCTTGCAAGGCAGGCGCTTATGCCGCTGAGCTAAATCCCCAGCCCCTGCAATATATTTCTTAACAAAATAAAAATGAACAATAAATTAACTACAACCTCTAAATGTGAAAGAGCTTAACATTAGGCTAAAACTTTACCCTTACCTATGTTCTTTGTGGTATTGGTAACAAATCACAGTGTTTAGATTAAGGAGACAAAGGATGGCATGATTTATGTAGAAAAGATGATGCTGAGTTCTGAGTTTATGAGTCAATTTAGCGAGCAGGATTTTTTTCACGTTGTCTCAAGAATGACTGTAATACAGCTATACTCCCTCTTACAACCCTTTTTTAGCTTCATCCTGTTACCTTCCAAATCTGTGTAACTTTTTCCTATCCTATTCGAATATACGTTTTTAATTTAAATGGAAGTTTTGAGTTCTCCTCTTTCTTTGTTTAAATATGATGCTTCATAGTGACTCTATGTACTCGATATCAAGTTTTTTTCCTGGCACAAAATTTTGAAACTAACATTTTGTACAGTGAGTTCAATGTTCATAATTTAATATTTAGTGCTGTTGTTGACATAGAAATTCAACATGTTTCCATGAAGTTCCAGTAGAGTGAGTTTATAAAGCAATTGTTGTTTTATAATGAAGGTATTTCATAAGGCATTTACATTATTTCTTTTCAATCAACAAAAAATAAAATGCCCCCCAACTAACCCTATGACAGAGCAATAAAAGCTTTATTTAAAGCAAACAATTTGTTTCTCAAGTTGTTTCAATGTTTAGTAACAGTTTGCTATTATTCATGTTTTTTAAATGTGCTTCTTGAATCAGATACAAATTTTAGTAGGGAAATACTCAAACACTTCTAAAAATTAATTATAAACAACTGTTTTAGAATACTAAAAAGAATTTTAAAACTTTCAATTCAGCAAAGTTAATATTTTCCCCTAATGTAAATGATGGAAAAATAAAAGTGTAGACACGTTCATGGCTTGGGGCAAATGTTTTTCATGCCCCCAAAGTCATGTTCCTTAGCAGCCATTGTTGGGATCTACTTCCACTACAGTCCTGCATGGTGGGCACCATTTTATCTTCTTCAGAGGGTTCATCGAGACACTGGTTACTGTTAACATGTCTCAAGGTCAGTCTCTGTAAGAGATAATCAATAATCAGTGAAGCCTAACTTGTATTTAACTTTACTAGCAAATCAGAATAAATTTTATTTTTAAGATTTTCTTTTTTTTAGTATACTATAACTGTGCTATGTATTAAAAAACTGTATACAAGAATATGAATTAATATTGGCTCTCATGGCATCATCATTGTCTAGAGCACCTTTATTTGCAGATGGCTAAAGAAATTGGCCAACATTTATCATGGGTTGGCAGGAATTAAGGTTTCTTTGCAAAAGCCCATTTGTTGCCTTGAGTTCAGTTTGGGGCTACAAATATTAAGAAGCTTTTGCAAAAGCTTAGTTTTCTTAGACACGTGTTATTCAATAACCATTTGATAAACATGCAAATAGATGTCACAGCTGTGACCCAAATGAACAAAACTGCTAGAAATGTTCCCATTTCAAAATACTAAACCAACCATAGTATCTCAGATATTCATTGTAGAAGAGTGATTATTATAGTAGCAAAAAATTTCTTTTACTTTGTAATAGTCTCACCATATTTCAATATGCATTTAAACATTGTAAAATATGTAAGTAAAACACAAGTATGATAATATATTTTCAAATTTTCATTTAATCACATTTTATTCATAACTTCAATAATTGTATCATCCTGATTAGTTATTACACATATTCTGTTTGTAATCCCCATTTACATTGGAAATAACACTTTTTGAACTTGCCAGATGCACATTTTAAAACTATGCTTTTATGTACTCATTTTATACCAGTCTGCTCAGTTTTGGGCAGTGCCTACAGCAATACAACAGGAAAAAATCTCGAAGCAGAAGAGAAGTGCTTTCGCATATGCGAGGTGATTTGCTGGTATATCTTGAAAATAGACCCCATATAATTTTTGTCTCAAATTATCAAATTTAAAGATAGACAAAAATCTTTTCTTTGCGTCTTACCTTCTATTTTTACTCCGGTTAGTACACTGAATGCTGCTAGAAAACTAATTCATGGGCTACTTGATAAAAATGATAGAGAAACATGACTTGGACAACTGTAATTTGTTTAGATTAAGATTAACTCTGACTACACTGCTGTGAGACAAGAATAAATGGTGAGTAGATTGTGGTAGAGGATGCCAAATAACAACAAACAGGAAATTAAAAGAGCAAAGCTATCAGAAGTAAAGGCTATTTTAAGATTATAACTGTTGTTTTTGAATACATGAAATCAAGCCATTTATACTAAAAAAATGAAGTTCTTTTTTAGAAATTACAAATGATAGACAAAAACATGTTTGGTCTATTCTTATGATACCATAAATTCAATAACCTACCTCCTAGAAAAACAAAAATGTTATTAAAAAATAAATTACATCTCTTCTAAAACATTCTAGTTAACATCAACAGAAACTCATTTTTTTACCTGAGGTTTACTATATAGGTATGTATATATATATATATATATTTTTTTTTTTTTCAGAAAGTAACTTACCATCATATATGTCCATTAGAGACTAAAAATGCATAATTTTGATATATATCTAGTATGCTATTGCACTTTAAGCTATCCTGGAAAGTACTGGTAGTACTCTATCTGATCTGATCACAAGTCACAGTCCCTGGATGCTTTTATCAATTTTCAGTTACTCAGATTACAATTAAAAATACTTTGAGATTCTTTTTCTTTTTCTCTTTTTGATTATTTGACACAGGATCTCACTATGTAGTTCAGGCTGATCATGAACTCACTATGGAGCCCAACCTGGGCTCAACCTCAAGGCAATCCTCCTGCCTCCACTTCCCAAGTGCTGGTATTTTACTATACCTGGTAAAATTATTTTCCTTTAAGGATCATATTGAATAAGTGTTGCCAATGACACAGAAAATGATAATGTGTGGCTGCAGGGTAAAATAAAAGGAACACTTCTATGTTTTTGGTGGGAAGGTGCACTATTACAAGTACCATGGAAATCAGTATAATGATTCCTTAAGAAACTAAAAATAGAAAAATCCACTCAACCCAGATATTCCTCTGTAGGTATCCTTTCAAAAGAGCTAAATACACCACATCACAATAATACATGCATACCTAAGTTACAGCAACACAACTCATAATAGCTAAATCTTGGAAATGACCTATATGTCCATCAGCAGGTGAACAGACAAAGAAAATGGAGCATTTTAACACAATAGAGTACTACTCTGACATAAGAAGGATAAATTTGAATCATTTATGAGAAAATGGATGTACTTTGAGACCATAATGTTAAGTGAAATAAATCAGAAACACGGGCTTAAATATCACTGTATCTGAGAAACTCAAAATATAAAAAGGAGAAAAATAAAACATAGATAATAGGAAATATAGAGATATAGTTTTTGCAAAAGGGAAGAACAAGAGATACAAAGTGTAAGGAGTGAGAAGAAGGGGATGTAAAAGAATTAAAATATTATGTCCAAGTACAGCTCCTATGAGGAGTATAATCATTATGCCCTGTAAATGTGTACCAACCAAGTAATTTTAAAATGCTAGCAAATACTGTTTTCCCTTAAAATGCATAAGTATTTCCACTGCAGGAAAGACTAAAACAATCAAAAAAAAATTTCCTTCTTGATGTAGTACAGTGGAAAGCCAGACATGTTAAGCTTAGATAGACCTAAGTGTGAATCCTATGCCCTGACTTACTAGCTGTGAATACTTGGGCAGGCCACCAAATCATTCCGAGGAATCAGATTCTTCAACTGAAGAACCCGAGTTATACATAAAACTGCTCACAAATATCTTTTCTCCTTCTCCTTAACAAATTTGACCTTGAGGTAATTAACTCTGATCCCTGGGCAGCTAAATAAAGATACAATTGTTAACACTGTTGCTAGGCAATGTGGTTTATCGTAAAAATGACCTCTTATTGATGAACTGTATCTCATCTGAAAAACAGCATGTGAATAGCTGATAGGAAGCCAAATTTGAGGCACTTCTCTCAGTACAAAAATGATTTTGCACATCCCATTAGGCCCCCAGGAGCTACGCCTATGGAGTTGTTACCAGTGGTATCATCTCCTATGAGGAGAAGGCTATTAAGATCGAATGATTTCTGCATCTGCCTAATGCGGGATGTCATAACTTTGCACCATGCTGCCATCTGTGGAGAAGCCAACTCCAGAAAACTGTAAGAACTGCTGTGGAAAACGCTGCAAGTTGTCCTGCTAAGAGGAGAAAGCATGATCTCTGCCCTAGAACTCTGTAAGTAGATTTGTGAAATTACATGTTTACTTAACCTTAAATCATCTTTTGGGACACTGTATACACTAGGATGTATAGCTTTAAACACTAAAATAATACATGTACGCAGTCATGCACAAGGTCTTGACTACCGCAGCTTCTACATCTCACATTCAGAATGCCCTTATCTCCAAATAATTCTTTTCTAAATAGCTTCCCTACGTCCTCTGCTCTCCATCCTTCCAGTCCCACCTGTCTCACAACATTTCAAGCTGCACTAACAACCTGTAGCTCATTCGTGCAAACCAGACAGCTTTCCTAAACTCCCACATGTTTTCATAAGGTAGTGAGACACCACACAACGAATAATCACTTATTTACTGGACAGTAAATCCTTCAAAGCAACGAACTAGAACGTGGACTTGCGTGCAAGAATTTCACACCACTTTTTTGATCTGAATAAAGATCATTTCATTGCTGGCTGAGAAGGTGGTCACAAATCATACAACTGAGAGATAAAAGTCACCATTTTAAGAGTTTTATTGCTGCAACACTTCACCAACCACAAAAAAATACTCAAAAAATTTTCTTCCTAGAAATACTGATACATCTTAGCCTTTCATAATTTGTTTACTTAATGTTTCAGATTAAAGTAATTGCAAGTTTATATTTATGCAATGTTTGTACAATCAAAGCATCTAAATACATGTTACAAAATCAATATGTTTCAAAAATATAATACTTTTACTGTTTTTTCTTAGCTATAATGCAGAATCTATTGTCCTATAGACATGGCTATCATACGAAAACAGCTAATATTTCATAATGTAGTCCATCCAATATGTTTCTGTATAGATATGCTTGAAATAAAAAACTGAAAAATGTATATTAATTAAAGATAGTCTAAACATTACTTAACACATACAGTCCAAATTAATGAGCAGTTGAAAATTAAAAGGCAGAAAAGAGACTCCAGGAAAAAAATAACACCTGAAATTTTTCTTAAGCTTTCAGTTTTCTGTAATCAAATATAATCAAAGCACTAAAATATATTTAATAAATTCACATGAGCTTCTAAAATTATTACAGAAAGTAATCGGTAGTATTTCCAAAAATATTTCTAAAAACTTCTGTTCTTGTATAGTTTCTTAGTCGCCATTTTTGCAAAGCACTATCATTACATGTTTCCACAGTGGGGTGTTGGGAGCCATCGGCTATTTTGTTTACTGAAAGACAGGACTGGGTGAGTACATGAAGAATAGTGTGGGTCTGTATAACAAACAAACAAACAAAAAAGAATGACAAAATGAAGAACAAAGGCGGTAATAAATCAATCATGCTGGACAACACACAATTTGTACTAGATAAGGAGAAGAGAAACATGTCACAATAATTGCATCCATGGAGCAAGCTGTGAGCCTCATGCCCAGGACCCTTTCAGACCACCTGCACTCAGTAGAACCAAATGCAGGTGACGCCAAGACTATGAGGAGGACTTTGAAATCAAATGATGAAACATTTTTGACAAAAGTTATTTTGGATAGCAGAGATTGTTTTCATAATCTAGAAATAAAAGGTTCTTTTAGTTCCAAATGAGTTCTTTTGTGAGGGTGTTTTCAAAGAATTGATCAGTCCCGAGAGTTTTAGTTGCAGCCCTTGGCCTCTCGTTGCTTTACCTTAACCATGAGAAGGCACCAGGTAGGAATCTGGGGATGACTGAGCTGAAAAGCTTTGCCTTGATTTGCACAGCAAAGCAATCCATTGCTGCTGCTTATTGGCTTTTCCTATGGCTAACCTGGCGATTCTAAGGTTCCGCGTATATACTGATATCCATTAGATGTCTGGTGAAAAGTTAATGAAGGAGGAAAAAAAAAATCAACTCAATTGGGGCTCGACTTGAAAATTTTTCACAACATATAATTAAGCATTTTATTCAATTTTCTGTTTCTTGCCTTCCATCATTTCTTCACTAAGAAGCAGAAGCTCCAGTAAGGCCACAAACCACGGCTGCCTGTATGATCAAGCCCCACACCTGCTGTGAGAGATGCTGACTGCATTTGCTGATTTGAAATGGTGAAGGCCAGTACAGAAAATAAACACTGCAAAAATCAAGTTTTTCTCTTCAGAAGCTTAATGGACACAATTATCAGATTTACCTTTTAAAGGATTTCTTTGTGTTTTCTATAGTAAAATAGCACAGAAATGATTTATAAAGATAGGAAAGATAGTATAATATTCTATATATGATTTGTAAAATGATTCTGTTAGTGATGTAACAGCATACAATGATTGGTTTAGAAAACTGCTTTTTAAAAGCAAATCTCAACTTCCTATCCATAGTGTTAGAATTTCTAGGCTAGATCATTCTCTATCTTCAGTGATTGTTCTTCCACTCTTCCTCCTCCTCCTCTTCTTTCTTCTTTCTCTTCTTCTTTTGAACTTTTTTGAGACAGGTTTCCACAATTTGGTTCAGGTTAGTTTTGAACTCACTATGTAGCCCAACTCAAACTCATGGTGATTCTCCTGCCTCAGCCTCCCTAGTGCTGGGATTACAGATGCATGTCGCTATGCCCAGTGATTATTTTTCTTGCCATGAACTTTTCTTGGTAAATGTCATGTTAGCATCAGAGACCTCAGTGTTAGAATTGTGAATTCTATTTTTCATGAAAAAAGAAAAAATGAATTATGAAGTATTTTATGGAATAAATAAAAAACAGAGATTTGGCTGAGGGATTCAGCCAGGAAAAGTGACTCCAGGGCATGAATAAAATATGAATATTTCATAAGAAATAAAATCATAATATTTTCCCCAGAAATGGTTCTCAAATGAATAAACATGAAAAAATCATAGTTTTAATTTCACATATTTGGAAAAGCAAGAAATCTGAGAAAAATTCTAACTTTTAATGTTATTAGGATTTTAAAATTTATTTTTTATTTAACAAAATCCACATAATTATTTAGAGTCTCCTTTGCTTAAGATTAAAATACTATTTCTTTGAGTATTTTGTCTATCACAGACAAAAATATTAATATTGTTTCCTAAGTTTATAATTTATGCATATAATCAGTACCACCAAATTAAATATTATTCTTCCATTCTTATTGTAGTTATTTTTTCTATCATTAAAATAATCTTCAAGCACTATTAAAATATAAAATTTGTATGAAATAGATCTGCAAAAATTCATTAATTTTTACATTTATATTTAAGGATAATGACTCTCAGAGGTAAAACTATAAATTCAAAAGTATGAATAGTTTAAAATGAGTTAGCAAAGTTCTTTATAAAATTATCCATACCAGTAACTTAGCAATGATAGCAGTAGCAACTATTATATTATTATATTTTAAAATGCCACAATATGATGTTTATTTGAGAGCATCCACACTTTTATATTGGGTATAAAATTTCTCTTTTTTTTTCTTTACTTTTAATTCTTTCTTTCTCTCTTCTTGAGACATGATCCTACTGTGTAGTCCAGGCTGAAATGAAACTCATAACAATCCTCCCTTAGCTTCCCAAGAGCTGGGATTACAGATGTGTACTACCACATCTGGCTGTCAGTTCTTTTCTCGTATTTGTTTAGAATGCCTCATTAAGAGGCTGTCATGTCAAATCAGTTTTAAAGGTAATTACCGTACAGGCTGACATGCAGTTTATTGTCAAGTACTTTTCCTACATTTTATTTAAAATGTTGACTAGAAAACAGAATAATATGAAGCTTCACTTAGCGTTAATTTTTGTTTATAATATGGAATCATTTACTGGTTCTCTGAAATGTATTATTTCTGGAAACATATGTAATTTTAACACATTTAAAATTAGACAAGAAAAAATTAATGATTCCTATCTTTATACATATTTGTGTGGTTCCTTGTCTATGACAAGGCATTTCATGAAGTATCTCTAAATCTACTCTTCCAAAGGCACAACTCCCACAAAAACTAACTGAAGTCAAGCTCAGGAAGAAATTCTAGTGACAAAGTAAGAACTGCGCCATTATAAAATTAGGTCACTAGTTTGTATTAAAAGACACAAAATTAAAAAATTGGTATTAAAAGCTAACACATCTGACTGCATAGCTTATTTAAGCATCCATTATATATCTCTCAGTCAGCATTCTAAAGGTTTGAAATGAAGACAATTGAAAAATTATTTTGTTAAACACAAGTACAGAATAAAAATCAACTTGAGGTGTTATAGCTATTTAATCACCTGGATAATAGGTTTCACCTCTTGATTAATTACAGAATGCCAATTGTTAAAAAATTAGTATAACATATTTATCCCAAATATGATATGATCACTTAACAATGTAATCTGTGCAGTCAGTGGGACAATTCTAAAATAAAACAAAAGTATTTAACAAAACTAGAACTAAGACTACAACACTAATGTACAGGAATTTCTATTCACTATTTGGTTCTAACAAGATATCACAGCTATGGGTCCAGGGAAATGTAGGAAAGGAATACCTGTCTAATGTACACTACCTTCAAAAGGTAAATTGAGCCATCATATGGTATTAGGCACTTTACTCACAGACACAGCTGCATGGTATTTATAGATCACTTACCTTGAAATTATATTCCCATTTACCTGCTTTCTGGTAAAGGCAAACAAAAGAGGGGGAATTAAGTAAAATCTATAAGCTTCTGGCATTTCTATAAACATCAATTCAACATATTTCACCTGCTAAAAAATTTCCTTATACTGTGCCTCTGGGAAACATTTTATACAGATGGATGTAAAATTCATTGCAAGTATTTCTCAGTCAACTTGCTCAGTCACATGAAAAACAAGACTTATTTTTAGCATCATATTTTGCTCGCTTTTTTTCTTTGTTGCATAGTGTTTGTTGAGCATAAGTGTTCTGATCTAAAATTAGATTCTCACACTGTATGGAGCTGCCTAGATGTTTAAAAAGAAATGTGATTAAGTGCATATATTGTTGGAAAATGTAAATTTCAGAAACAGTGAATAAAATTGTGATGTTCAAACAGCATATAAGGAAACCTGAATAAAATAAAATGAATAAATGATGGACTTTCACAAGAACACTTTAAAATTGTTTAGCGAAATGAAATTTTCTCTTTGACTTTTGTTTTTAAGTCTGTGGCAATGGGACCCACTGAAGTACTTGGGTAATTTATTCAAGAGTTTGGAGACTAGGCAGATATTCTACGATTTTGTTAACTTCCAAGTTAAATAGGCTACATCAGCTATAAAGTGACAGCAAATCATGGCTTGGTGACATACAACTCTAATACCAGCATTCTGAGAGGCTGAGGCAAGGAGCACAAGTTCAAGGCCAGCCTGGACAACCTAGTGATGCAGAACCCTGTCTCAAATATAAAAACAAAGAAAAGAAAAAAGTACTGGGATCCAGGTCAGTGCTAGTATAATACTTAGTATCACAACAAAGAAAGTAACAGAAAATTAAATTCGTAGTCATATTGTTCAGGTAATAGCCAGGAACACAAGAAACCCTATATTTCAGATCAAAGTTAACTTTGCATTTATTACTCACATGACCTTAACTTCATTCAACTAAAATAAGAAGCAACTAGGAATTAGGTATATATGAAGATGTGTAGATGAAATTTGTAAGCAGATCATAGTCATACTGTGGTTTTATGACTCTCTGTTTATCTAAATGGGCTACATTTAACATATAATAACTTTTATGTCATTAAAAAAGAGAAGTTTTCTGTGAATAAAAGTTGGTGCAGGGAATACCAATGATGTTATCCATTAATTAACTTACAATATTTCACAATAACTTAATAGAATATCTCTATTGAAAACATCTAATTATTTATAGTTTTTTTGAGATATCATAAAATGCAATGTAATCTAGCAGAAAACCTGGTGGACTGATTGCCAGAAACCTGGGTGTGCAAACGTAGACAAAGCCTTTGTACTATGTTCCCATTTACTGATAGGAAAAATAAGGAGATAGTAATACATGACTTGTAAGACTCGTTTCAGAGTTGCAGGAGAAAACAGATAAAACTGTGACACTTGATTAAGTGTTTTCCCTTTCTTTTCCCTCTCAGTTAACAAATAAATAGAACCAAAGCATCTAGACAGATTTCATCTTTTAAAATTTTACGACACTGTGTCCATATTTCTTTGGACCTCCCAACAATTCTTTTCCTACTTATGACTTTCTTTTTTAAGACTGAAAGAACTATAGGAGATAAAGTGATGGGATCATTCAGCTGCTCAGTCTGTGAGACTCGTAATGTACTGATAACTAGGTTTCTTTGAAAACTTTATTAGTAACTAAATCCTAGCTTTGATGCTTGAATGGTAATTTTTGAGCTTCAACTTTCTTCTGATAAAGTGTAGAGAAGGGAACTTTAAGAAGCCTTTGTAGTTTGTAATTCTGTGAAGTCCATCTGTTTTTATGCTGCTTCAAAACTGCACTACTTCTGATATTTCTCAAAGAGTAATTTTGCCCTTGCTATCAAATGATAAAGAACCAAGTGACAGAAGTGGTAAGTAGCACTCATCTACTGTGAGCTGTTGGTGTATGAGATGAATAGTGCTACCGAGCGTGACTCACACATCTCAGCATCACCACCTCTCATTCTGTCACTCCCTTTCCTGCTCATTTTTCAAAGTGTATTCATGACTTTTCCAAAGTTTGCAGTGTTTTCCAACAGAACATAAAAACCATGAAAATTGCATAGATGTTTCATCACTATACACACCAATGTTTTGTTTTGTTCTGGCTTTTTGAGACAGGGTCTTCCTATGTAGTTTAAGCTGTCCTTGAACTCACTGTGCAGGCCAGGCACAGTCTTCCTGTCTCAGCCTCCCCAGTGAGTATTGGGATTATAGGCATGTGCCACCATATCTCGCTATTATATATACCAAATTTTAGTATAAATACACTAAATGACCTAGGAATTTTTTAAAATAGAGATTTGTATTTAGTGTGACCAGTATAGTTTTTTAAATTCTACCTTTATAACAAGTTTCTGGAGGATTTTATTAGTTTTAGAGTCAAACTTTGGCCACAAGTATCTGAACTATTCTATGGACTAAATGAACTATAAATAAAAACTTAAACATAAAAGAAATCATAAAAAGTAGTTATTGCATTTCAACTTTAAGATATTAATATATTCTTTTCAATAACCTCACGAAGCATCAGATTTCAAAGGTTAAATTTCCATAAAGGCACACATTATTGCAAAATTTGTTCCATTCTCATGTCATTTCTCTACATCATTATTTATATATTTTCAAATTTGTCAAGCCAAGATCTTTAAACTAGTTGAAGATTATAACATTTTTGAAAATAAATATATAGGAGAGTAAGTTAAATAGTGGTACATAATTATTAAGATGATCAGATTACTTATTTAAAATAAAATTTCTCAATATTACACTTATTGTGTAAACCCAAAGCAACATTAACATGTTTCAAAATATTATAATACTTTAAATGTTGCAATGGATAATTATTAATTGTTCAAAAGAGTAAGTTTATAAAACTTATTCTCATAGAACAAGCTCATTTTTTCAATTTTCTTTTGAAATTTCTTAATATTTAATAATCTTTATACAGAATGACAGAACACAAGCAAAAGGTACACTTATGTACAGAAACTATTTTAGAAATAAAGGAATTTGAACTATAACTTTGGAAGTCATTGTTACTCAGCAGCATAGAAAAGTTTAAGGACTGAAAGTGGTATGCTTATGCTCAATGTAGCCATATCTTACAAGAATATATGATCATTCTCCTTTTTTAATAAATATAGGTTATATTTATACATTTTTAGCAAAGCCTAATAGGGTCTTTGATTCCTGTAAGAAAGGTAACAGTAACATCAAAGATTATATTTAATAAATAAATACTACTTGGAGAATTTCTACCTTATCTTTTAGATTTATCTGTACTTTTGTTTGCAGGACAGTTAGAGAACCCATTAAGGGTCCATGTGTACCTATTTGAATTTAGCAACAGAAAGGTATACGGGAGGATTAACAGAAACAGTGGTGGAAATAAAGGGAAAAAATGTGTTTAAAAGGGTGAGTGAGATACTGAGAAGTCACACAATTAAAACACATTGGTGCAGCATCGGAAGTACTTTTAGTGTTTTTCTTAATTGGGTCTGTTACAGTTTGTGTCTAGGTGGCCCTGGAAGCGTAATGCAGTCATGGAGGTTACTGAAACCAGTGTTCCTGATTGGTTTGTTGTCTAGCGCTGGGATTGGTGGTGTGAGTGCTACACCCAGCCAAGGCAGAGCCAGCGTACAATTTAAGGGAGGGAACGTGGGTATGTTTCCCACTCAGTTTTGCCCTTTTCCTTTTTTGCTTGGGGCTGCCCCTCAGCCACACCACCCTGCCTTGGAGCCAGCTGAATATGGACCCAAACCTCTAAAAATCTGTAAGCTAAATAAACCTCTCCTTCCCTCACTTTAGGTGTCAGGTATTTTGTCTCAACAAGGAGATAAAAGTAAACAAGACAAAGGCCTTAAAGATACTACTTATGAAGAAGCAAGTAATGTCATATAAATTTTAGGCTATGACTTAACCCTACATAATCTGTGTCAAGTCCTATAAGAATTTGGTAAACCTTCCTGATACTTAAGAAAATATAAAGCCACACAAATTAAATGGCGTTTAAAAAGCTTTTTAAAAAGAAGATTTTGTTAAAATGTCATTAATATCCAAAACTTGAAATTGAGTTTTAAAATGTTCCCCTTATTTCAGGATCTGAGAAGCATGTTTATTATACTATTTATCTTGCAAAAGTAAAACTTAGGGTTTTTTTCTTACATATATTTGCTAAGCAAAGAGAACTAAAAAGTATAAAGCTCTTGCTGAGGTTGTTTCCTTATGTAGAGAAAAACATTTCTTTTTTATTAGCTCCACCTGATGGCTGAACTGGTTTTTACATGCTGCCTGGCTATAAATTGCCACCAATAATTTTGTTGATTTCTCTGCCCTCATCTTGGTCTGAAAAGGGTACTATATTGGCAAGCTATGCTTAGCTGATTATATGTTTACTTAGCTTATTAAATTACATAAGGCATTTACTATGACAAAGATAAAAAATTCTTTGCAATACTTTTATAATATTAAACCTTGTTAATCCTTGTCAAACTTCAAATATTAGGTTGATAACTATAGGTATCACAGTTCAAATTTAGAACTTGAAAATACATGTACATTGTCAATATTTTCCTATATGTACATTTAATGCATGTCACTCAGAGAATTGTAGCTTGCCCTTGTCTAATTGTCATTGGCATGTACATGGAGATTACAAATATTAAGCATATAACAATGATTATTTTTATTTTGTACTAATAAACTAATTTGGTAAAAATGTTCTTGTATAATTTGATATCATAATATTTTCAGATATGAACATGTATGCTTAAAGTATGATTTTTCCAATGATGAAAAAAATAAGCTTGGAATTTGGTTTTGAAATATATAACTAAGATTAGCAATTAAATAATAAGAAAATTCAGCAAATACTATACCTCTGCATCATATTCCCACAGCTGGTTTCCTCTCATGTGGTGGCATTTTAACATGATTACAGGTCCATTGAGTCTGGATACATCCAAGCACAAGTCATCAGTTCTGATTTCTTTGTCAGCCGTATAAGAAAACACCTAAAAATACAATACTCAGCTAATAAATAGTATCAATTTTACAACAAAAGTCATGGTACAGCAGATCTGTCTGTAAAAGATTCTGTACCAGATAAACATATGATCTCAGGTGATTTCTGCTGTGTGAACTGGAAAAAGTTAACTCATTTCTCTGCCTTTTTCCTGAAATAGAACTGTATTTTACATTTTTGGCAAAAACTTTCATTTAACAAACTAAATTACTAAATGCTTGTTTTATGCTGGTACTTTATTTCATGCATTACACTTGTCTTATAAAATTAAAATCAAGTTAAATATAATGAAGTTTGTAAATTGCATGGAGCTCAATAAAAGGAATCTTACTCTAATGCTGAGTAGTTTCTAAATTTTTTTCCTCTTAATAAAAATAGCGATAAGAATAAGTGGAATAGGAAGAAGAAGAAGAAGGCAGTGCATATTAGTACATGCATGCCCTTTTTATTTGATCTAAAATTATTAGATTTGATTATAATTATTTACTTTCTGCACTTATATTCGTGATTTGTGATTTTTAAAAATATACACTCACTACTGTTGAGTATATGTGAACTTGGTTTGAGAACACAGAAATAACATAAACAAATTCTTGCAAAGGTCCTGGTACATCCAGAGTACCCAATAACTGATAGCTAGTATTATCCAAATCTTAGAACTATTACCCCATTGTGACTTGTATGTGGTTTCTCACTTTCATTGTGTCCTCAGTTTCCCAATTGTAAGATAGAAACCAGAGATCTGAATGAAAGCTTCTATTACCTGACGGCAGGCTTTCCTGACACCTTCAGCTAATTTTCTCTATGTAGAACCTGGACCTCTGGATTCACCACTTCTCATTCCTTATGACTTAGAGTTGCTTGCTAGATTTCCTAGTAAGTGACACTCCCCTGTGACTGTTGCTTATTGCCCATCCCGCAACTTTAAGCAGATTAATTCTCTCAGTTGTTATGTGTAACTCTCAATACTGAGCCTGCCCTATCTGTTCTGCTTTTGTTGTACTTAAAACTTTACACTTGATGATAATGTAAGATAAAACATTTGAAACCTGCACAAAACTCTGAAATACTTTACCTTAAATTGTCACACATATGGATGACTGCATGAGATTGATTTCTTTCACTAGTGAGGTCTCATTGTACATCTTTGAAACCATCCGAGTGCTTTATCACATGTGATTTCAGTTGCTTCATTACCTAACTAACTTTATGACAGTTAACGGATTCAAAATTCAATCGCTTTAATTAAGATAGGGGACTAGTGGCAGGGTATAACAATCGGTGTCGACGACCTTCCTTCCATTATATAAAAAGAAATTGAGAGGAAGTTCACATTTATGAAGTACCTATCTATGTAAGAAGCCATATGTAACATTTTTTCATATACATTACATTAAATACATCTGTCATTCTGCCTCATTGTACAATTACGTTTATATACCTATGGATGTGCAACATGTTACAGTACTGCAAAACATAAGCTGAATTCTTTTATATAAACTACCAAGACTAGTTGATGCTAATTTGAAATTTTTGTTTTATATTTGATGTTTACATTGTGTACACAAGGTCTATGTACAAATTCTCTCAAGGGTCTCTTCTGTCACATACGTGGGCATGTTATTTCTTTCTTTATGTGATTTGCTTTTTTTTCTTTGCCTATGTCCTAATTTCATCTAAAAGATATGAGTTAGAGACTTCTCAATGGCCTTACTATTCCTAAATTACCTTTTAAAACATCATATCTATAAACACTGTCACATAGGGATACCCTGGGGGTTACAAATTTAGCATAGAATAGTGAGGTTGGGGGCAAAATTTAGCACATAAAATCTCTTGACAGTATAGAAATTATTAAAAGGGATAGTATGTCTTTACCGTAAATGAGAACTATGACATATATGTTTTTTCCTGTTTTTTGCGCTTTTCATCTACTTCATTTTAAAATCCAATTCAGAAATGAGAATGTTGTTTAATATTATTAATCAAACCTCAAAATTTTGTGTAGTATCAAATTTTCTCCTATTGTCTATTTAAATTGGCCATGCTTTTGGTTGCTGCGGGGGGGGTGTTAAAAAAAAAAGTCTTTCTTTCTGTATTTCACTGTCTAAAACTTCTTTTTTTCCCCTCTTTATCCCAATTTCCCCCTGGCTGCTAGTAAGAGTTTATTTTTCAAGGTGGTAAAGCTCTAGGAGGGAGTTTAGCCAAAGCCTTTCCTTTTAACTCCTCCCTGTTCTCTGGCTTGAATGAGTTTAAAGTTCCTGTGCTGAGAGTATCTGTGTCCTTTTAGAGTTTCTTAACACTGAGCATCTCTGCCCAAAGTGCTAATGATGAAATCAATGCATATTTTATAAGAATCCACTTTTTATGAGCTGACAAACCCTGGGGGGGTATACTGATGGGGCAGTTCAAACCCCTCAACTCAGTTGTCCCAAGCCAGCTTTGTTTCTAAGGTATTAGTCAAGTCATAGCCTGCCACCCTCTCCATGTGCAAGAAGCACACAGCAAGCTTTCCAAGTAGTGTCCTACATAATTTAAAGCACATGGTATAAAATAGAAACAAAGTATCAATTAATAGAAAGCTATAAAGAATTTCCAGAGTGTAGAACTGTGTGACCGCATGGCCTATGCCACCACAGTGCTATACCTGCCTTCAATTCTCTCTAGAAACCAAAATCTCACCTACAGAGTAGGCAATAATTCTCTCCATAGAAAACCTTGCAATCTTTTCCATGTTCTGATACCTCCTGCTCTGGGTTGAATTGTGTCCTGCAAAATGATATGGTCTTCTAAACCCATATACTCAGAATATGAACTTTTTTGGAAATAGGATCATCACACAAGTAATTAGTCATTTTATGGCATAATACTGGATTCAGGTGGGACCTTAATCCAAAGAGACTGATGTTTTAATCAGAAAAGACAGAGCTAGAGAAGAGTCAACCAGATGGTGGAGGTAGATACTGGAAAAATGCGTCCACAGGTCATGGGACAGCGAGGGTTGCTGACAAACGGCAGAAATTAGATGAGAAAAAGAATGATTCTTTCCTAGGTTTTCGTATGAGATGCTTCTGACACTGATTTCAGACTTCTAGCTTCCAAATTTATAAGGCAATACATTTTTGTGATTTTAAAACATACACTTTGTGATAGTTTGTTGCAGCACCCCAGCAAACTAATGCATCGTTTTTTACCCTTAAAATGGATCACAAGATCTACAAGTCATATGATTCCTTTTTCAAATTATGATCATGTTTGCACAAGTAAACTGTTTTTAAATTTCACAAAATTTGAATCTTAGTATTGAGATGAAAGTAACAACATCTAGTTATATTATCCAAAAGTTTCAAGTCAATCATTTTCACAATCACAATTTTTTTAAAAAATTAATTTTATATTCAAAAACAGCTTTTTACCATAATTAGCCTAAGTTTTTGCACACTTTATCGAGGTTGGATTGATTTTGATGTTGTATACAAATCAATATACTACATATAAAGTGATAGATAAGTATAATCTCAATTTCTTTTAATCTTGTGATTTTTATTTCCCAAAAGGGAAGCAGTTTTTATTATTTTATATATGTACATAGTTTGTCATAGATTTTCCTTTTGGGGGTAGTATGTCCAAAACTTTTTATGGGTTTTCCAATATCTAAAATTTAAAAAGCATTTTAATAATTTTCAGACTGGTTGGAGAATGATCTAAAATATTCTTCATTAAACCAATCCTTTCCACAGTGAAAGTGTATATATACAATTATCAGGATTGTTCATAATCCTGATATATCTATCACTTTAGAAATAGTTCCCTTTTTGCTCCTCTGGAAAATTACAAATTTTTGCTCAGTTCGGTAACATAAACATCTGTGAGTGAGTGCAACCTAATTGTAGCAGTGCAGTTTGGAAAATAAGGACAGAATGCGCTGTGGCTCCTAGACCTTGCCTAGCTCAGCAAAGGGCTAGGAGCTGAACGCCCTCTGCTGGTGTTTTCGGCTTTCCTTTCCTTTCCTTTCCTGTCCTGTCCTGTCCTGTCCTGTCCTGTCCTGTCCTGTCCTGTCCTTTCCTTTCCTTTCCTTTCCTTTCCTGTCCTGTCCTGTCCTGTCCTGTCCTGTCCTGTCCTGTCCTTTGCTTCCTTTTCCTTTCCTTCCCTTCCTTTCCAAAGTTCCCTTTCCATCTTCTTCCTCTTTGTTTTAAAATTTACAATTCACCACCCCTTTGCAATCTCATTTCTCTCCCCTCCACCCCCCTCCTTCTGTCTCTCAGGTCACTTCCCATATGCCAAACATTTACCTTGATATTTCCTAGTGGTATCCCCTTTATGTTTTAACTCACCCTTCAGTTATATATTATGGTTCTCATATGACAAAAATCATGCACGATTTAAACTTGTGTGCCTAATTTTCTTTGTTTCATACTATGGTCTCAAGGTACTTCCATTTCTTGCAAATGATTCAGTGCTCTCCCAGCTCTTTAACCTGGCATCCTACTGGGGCTCACTTCTTGACCCACAATACCTCTCAGTCCTCATAACACACTAAAATTAAAACGGCAAATGAGGGATACAACTAAAATTAAAAGAAAATAAGCTGTGGGAACTGAAAATGTAACTAATTGGTGAAAATGTTCTTTTTTCTACTTTAGTTTTGAAAATTTATTATTTGTGATACATTAGTAAAATGTACAAAAACCTTCAAATAAAAACATAAAATGAAATCACTCTTCAGAAGATGTACAAATGCCGATAAATACATAAAAAATGTTAAATCACTGACCTTTTGCATTGCACATTAAAACATGAATGAGATTCCATTTTACTAAAGGAAGAATGATTATGTTTGAGAAATCAAATAATAACAAATGACGAAGGATCCACATGGAAAAATGAAAGCATTTTATCAGTGTTCATGGGACAGCAAAGTGGTACCACCACTATGGAAATAATTATGGAGATTCCTCAAAACACCAAAAATAGATGTATCTTTTGACC